CACCTCGTAGAACACACCCACACACACACCACACACACACACACACACACAGGAAGGAAGGAGTTTGCTAATGCTCTTGTTTGGCTTCGGAAACACTCAAGCTGGAGGTCAACAGCCTGGGCGACGCCGAGAGCAGGGAGCGCTACCGCACGGCCTTGCGAGAGTACCTCTCCACCCAACGAACATTCCTATCGGCCGACTCAGTGCTTCGGTTCGCCCCCCCCCCTCGCGCCTGCTCTCTTGATCTCCCAAGCTTCTCTATCTCTATTCCCCCTCGCTCCAGCACTCCGAAACTCATCGTCCAGCACAACACGGATCAACGGCACACGGCACACGGCACACGGCACACGGCACACGGCACACGGCACACGGCACACGGCACACGGCACACCGAGCGCAGGTTAGATCGAGGGAGCGAGCTGCGGGTGCTCGATTCCAAGGACGCGTCGGACCAGCAGGTGGTGCGCGCGGCCGAGTGCCCCGTCCTGGTCGACTATCTCAGCGAGCAAAGCCGTGACCATTTCCAACAAGTGTGTGGCCTGTTGACCCAGCTGGACCTGAGGTAATCATGCGTCTTGTGCCGTGTGCGTGTGCGTGTGCGTTATCCGATGGTGCTAATCTCTGTCACAGTTTTGTGGTCAACCCTCGGTTGGTGCGCGGTCTGGACTACTACGGCCAAACAGTGTTCGAGTTTGTGGGCCAACCCGGCCCCCAGCTCGGCCCCCAGCAAGCGACCCTCCTCGCCGGTGGCGTCTACGACTCCCTCGTCTCCACGTTCGGTGGACCCGCCATCTCCGGCGTTGGGTAGCCTTCCTTCGTCTCACGACCCGTATTGTGTCGCGTGTGTCGCGTGTGTCGTGCGTCGTGCGTCTGTTATCGTCCATCTGTTCACTCTTGGTTTGTACAGATGGGCCGCGGGAGTGGAGAGGCTGGCGCTGGTGTTGGACCGCACGTTGGTGCCCACGCCGCCGCGACCACTCTATGTGCTCCTGGTGGCCACCGACGACCTGGCCCCGGCCGATGACACGATCAGCCACCTTAACAAGCCCGCGCCTGCGCCCGCGCTGGTCGGGTACGCCATGCGTGTGAGCGAGCAGCTGCGGAGGGACGGCTTCGTGGTGGTGCAGAAGGTGGACGGCAGCGAGGGGAGCGGCGGCAAGCTGCGCAAGTGGATGAAGAAGGCGGTCAAGGCCAACGCCGCCGCCGCGGTGTTCGTCGGCGCCGACGAGCTCGCCGCCAACGCGGTGACCCTTAAGCTGCTCGACACCGGAGACCAGCGCACCGTGGCCCTCCCCCAGCTAGCCGACGCTTTGCACCAGCACCGGCCCAGCGCGCCAACCTTTTTGTAATTGAAAGTTACCTTTCTCACACTTAAACATGAACTGCAACATTGGTTGCGAATAATCTCAGATAA